GCTAGCCTTGAGCTGAAGAGCTAAGGGACAGAGCCCAGGCCCAGAGTTCAGGCCCCACGACGGGACCCCCCCCCCAAAAAAAGAAAGAAAATCTTAGATCTTATGAAATGTGACCATAAAGGCTGAAGCCTAGAGGGAAGCTGGCATGTTCCAAGAGCAGCAGGGCACAAGGTGGCTACAGTGAGTGAACATCGGGAGAATAACTGGATGGGTATGGAACAGAAAATGTTGGATATTTAATCCAAACAAAACTAAGGTTCTCAACGGGGGTGGAGGGGTTGGGGGGGGGGCGGTTTGTCCTGAGACTTGTATGCAAGTGCCAGGATGGGAGGAGGAGCTGCTGCCATCTAGTGGCTAGAGCCCAGGGAGGCAGCTACACACCCTACAATGCAAAAGATAAACAAATACCTTTCTCCAAACATAGCAAAAAAAGCTATCTGGTTCAAGTATGGATGATGCTGATGTTGCCTTTTCTCTCGTGGGGTAGAAACCACTGGAGGGCTCTGGGCTTGGGCATGACATAATCTGACTTAGGTTTTAACTGGATCATGCACATAAACTCTCAGTAACCATAACAGAGAAGGGAAATCAGAGGTTTGAGTGGCAAAAGTGCAACTAGCTGGGGACCCATGTGGAAACTGGGGGGACGCATGTCAGACAAACAGCCAATGCACCCACCTCATGGAACTGATGCCCCAAGGGACACCATGTCTGCATGTCCCTCAGCAGCAGCCAAAGCAGTGAAACAGGATAATACCCAAAGATGCATAACAGCATGGCTTAGGGCCAGAGAATTTGAGGAATTTTCCTTCCCTGTGGGTTGCTCTGTGAACAAATTACTTCCTACTTCCTACAAGACCTTAAAATTACCGCCGGAAGGAGAGAGTAAGGTTCTAGGTCTACTAGTATTTGCCTGAAAGTCTCCTCTGAAATCTACCATTACAAAACATTAAAAAATAAGTTGGAAGCCGGGCGCTGGTGGCTCACGCCTGTAATCCTAGCTACTCAGGAGGCTGAGATCTGAGGATCGCCGTTCAAAGCCAGCCCGGGCAGGAGAGACCGTGAGACTCCTATCTCCAATAAACCACCAGAAAACCGGAAGTGGCGCTGTAGCTCAAGTGGTAGAGCGCTTGCCTTCAGCTGAAGAGCTAAGGGACAGCGCCCAGGCCCAGAGTTCAAGCCCCATGACCGACAAAAAAATAAAAATAAAAACATAAAACACAAAAACTGCACTCAGGGCATAGTGGTTCATACTTGTAATCTTAGCACTTGGGAGGCTGAGGTTAGAGGATCAGAGTTTGAGGTCAGCTTCAGCTACACAACAAAACCCTGTCTCAAAAAAACACTATTAACAACCAGGTGCTCGTGGCTCATGCCTATAATCCTAGCTACTTTGGGAGGCTGAGATCTGAGGATCACAGTTCAAAGACAGTCTGAGCAGGAAAGCCTCTAAGACTCTTATCTCTATCCACTAAAAGTGGAGCTCAAGTGGTTAAGCTCTGGCCTTCAGGAAGGGAACTCAGGCCCTGAGGTGAAGCCCTAGTAACCAGAACACAAAAAATAAATGAAGTTGGGCACTAGTCAATCAAGCCTGCAACCCTGGCCCCGGCTAAGATTGACGGGACCATGCTTTGAGGCCAGCCCAGGCAGAAAAGTCCACAGAACTCTATCTCCAAAATAACTAAGAAAAGGGTAGGCTGAGTACAGCTCAAGTGGTAGGGGTGCAGAAAAAAAAAGAGGCCCAACTGGCTGCCGGTGGCTAATGGCCTGTCATCCTAGCTACTCAGGAGGCTGAGATCTGAGGATCATGGTTCACAGCCAGCCCAAATAGGAAAGTCAGTGAGACTCTTATTTCCAATTAACCACCAAAAGACTGGAGGTGGCACTGTGGCTCAACTGGTAGAGCTCTAGCTTTGAGCTGAAGGGCTGAGGGACAGCACCCAGGTCAAGTTCAAGCCCCACAACTGACCAAAAAAAAAAAAAGTGAGGTCCAAGTTTAAACCCCAGGACTAGCAAAACATAAATTAAAATAAAATGCAAACAACATAGAACACCCATATCTTGCTGGTTGATTACAACCACTTTATACACTATTTGGAAGTACCTGCTAAAGCAAATATACGCCTGTCCACTAGCCCAGTAGCCCATTCCTACTTAAATACCCAAGAAAAATGCGTACAAATGTTTATTAAGACACACACGTAAGTGTTCACAGCAGTGGTATTAATAACTCAAAGTGCAAATGCCCGATGCCTTTCCATTGCAGAATTAATAAATGGTGGAATGTTCACACAATGGAATACTATTTAGCAATGAAAATAAATAAATCGTTGCTACAAGCATCAAAGTGGATGATATTCACAAATAAAAGTTGAGTAAAAGAAGCCAAAAGCCGGGTGCCAGTGGTTCACGCTTATAATCCTAGGTACTCAGGAGGCTGAGATTTGAGGATCATGGTTCAAAGCCAGCCTGGGCAGGCAAGTCCATGAGACTTTTTTTTTTTTTTTTGGTTCCGGTCATGGGGCCTGAACTCTGGGCCTGGGCGCTGTCCCTCAGCTCTTCAGCTCAAGGCTAGCGCTCTATCACTTGAGCCACAGCACCACTTCCAGCTTTTTTTCTTTTTGCTTTTGTGGTGCTGAGGAATCGAACCCAAGGCCTCATGCAGGCAAGGCAAGTGCTCTACCACAGAGCCACCTTCCCAGCCCTCCGTGAGACTCTTATCTCCAATGAACCACCAGAAAACTGGAAGTGGCGCTGTGGCTCAAGCGGTAGAGCACTCACTTTGAGCTGAAGAGCGCAGGGACAGCTTCCCAGCTAAGTTCAAGCTCCATGACTGACGGGGAAAAAAAAAAAGAAGCCAGACACAGACAATATATTATACACACACACACACACACACATATGGAGAGAGAGAGAATGTATGTGTTTGTGTGTGACATTGATAGTTCACACCTGTAAGCCTAGGTACTCAGGAGGCTGATGTTTAAGGATTGAGGTTCGAAGCCAGCCTGGGCAGATAAATCTGAAAGCTTCTTACTGCCAATTAACCAGGAAAAAGCTGGAGGAGAGGTTTGACTGGTAGTGTGTCAGCTTTGAGTGAAAAAGCTAAGAGAGAACATGAGGTCATGAGTTCAAGCCCCAATACTGGCAGAAAAAAAAGTAAAATACATACTGTTTATGTTTTATCTATAGAACAAAATGAAAAATTGAGAGGACTTCTGTTTTCGTTTCTATATGTGTAAAATTCGTCGATATAAATCGTACAGGGGTTATTATGAATTTTCTGTCAACTATTTTAGATGCTTTTGGGGGGCTGAGGCCAGGACTCCAACTCAGTATTTGACACTTTCACTCACTGGCTTGGCGCACTACCACCTGAACCACAAATCCAAATCCTCTAAATTTTCTGTATAACTATTGTTATCAGTATTAAGATATTCTGGGGCTGGGAAGGTGGCTTAGTGGTAGAATGCTTGCCTTGTACACATGAGGCCCTGGGTTCCATTCCTCAACATCATATAAGCAGAAAAAGCTGGAAGTGGAACCATGGCTCAAGTGGTAGAGTGCTACCCTTGAGATGAAGAGCTCAGGGACACAGCTCAGGACCAGAGTTCAGGCCTCACAAACAACAGGCACTGGTGGCTCAAATCTATAATCCTAGCTGAGGAGGCTGAGATCTGAGGATCGTGGTTCAAAGTCAGCCCATGATATTCTTTTAGGTCAGTTGTGTATCTGTGACTCAAGTGGTAAAACACCAGCCTTGAGCAAACAGCTAAGGCACAACTTGAACTCAGAATTTGAACTCACACCTGAGTTCAAGCCCTAGAACCAGGGCCTCAGGCATAGCAAGACAAGCGCTCTACCACTGAGCCACCTACCCAGCCCAATCTTTCATTGTTTTTCCTATAAACTAGTTAAGATATAGAACCTTTAGTGAGTTCCCAGAGTTCTTTCTTTTCTTTGTGGTACTGGGGATTAAACTCAAGGCTTTGTGCATACTAAGCAACGCTTCACCACTTGAACCACAACCTCATCATTTATATTTTTGTTTGAGGCTGACCTCAAACCATGCATGCATCTGCCTCTACCCCTTGAGTAGCTGGGATTACAAATGTACACTGCCACACCCAGCCAGAATGCTCATTTCTGTGTTAGTTGAATTGTCCCAGAAGGCTGGTTCCACAGGTAAGTAGTAGACAGAGCTGGAAAGGAGCCCATCCGTTTGGTAGGCCACATAGGTGACACCTGATTTTGGTTGATTTTTGTGCTTTTTTTGTTTTGTTTTATTTTTGTGCTGATACTGGGACTTGAACTCAGGATCTGCTTACAGTCTCAGAGCTTTTTGCTCAAGACTAGCACTCTACCACTTGAGCCACCACTCCACTTCTGGCTTTCTTGGTACCTGACTGGAAATAAAAGTGTCACGGGAAGCTGGACACTGGTGGCTCATGCCTATAATCCTAGCTACTCAGGAAGCTGAGATCTGAGGATCATGGTTCAAAGCCAGCCTGAGCAGGAAACTGTGAGACTCTTATCTCCAACCAAACACCAGAAAACCAGAAGTGGCCTTGTGGCTTTAGGTGGTAGAACACTAGCCTTGAGTAAAAGAGCTCAAGGACAGCACCAGGCCTGAGTTCAAACCCTACAACTGCACAAAGCTTCGGAGAACCTGCTGAGAAAGAAGCCATGTGTCCTCTGGTAGATTCATGACTAGGGGGCACAAAACAACAACAAACAAACAACAGAGACGGAAAAAGAGGATAAAGGTCCAAATCCTGAAGATGTCTTCTAGGCAGTGGGACTGCCTTTTCCATGGCAATGTAGTAGCACCTGACTGTGGACTCAGACAACCTGGGTTCAAGTGCTGTGTCCAGCACCCATAGCTGTGTGACCCAGACAAGTTACTTAACTTCCCTGCACTTCCTTTTCCTTTTTTTAGACCTGAGACTTGGACTGGAACTAAGTACCTGACAGTTTCACTCACTGGCTGGCGCTCTACCAGCTGAGTCATGCCTCCAACTCCAGTACTTCATTTTCCTTACTTCACAGCAAGTATAATAGTACTAATCTTATAAGGTGCTAAAGCCTGGCACAAAACAAGTGCACTTGAAATAATGGTAGTAATGGCATTAGTACTGCCTGAGCTTTCCAACAGTCTTCACAATGTGCAGGTGACAGAGTAAAAACTTGGCATGGAGCAACTGCAGAACGGGATTTCTCCCTTGGACCAGATGGCCATCTGCTGCGCACCAAGCAACAGCAAGGCTCGTGTGACTACTGTGCTAACTTCTGGCCTTGGGGGACAATGCTGAAGGGCCACCTATCTGCAGCCCACCAGGGCTTCCCCTTAGAAAAAGGACTCACTGGGACAATGAATACAGTCTGTTCCTCTATGGGGAACAGACTCTATGGATGGACAGGTGGGCTCTCTCAAAGGCCTGTCACCAACCTGTGCTGGATACGGTTTCAGAGGACTGAAAGACGGCAGTGGAGGAGGATGGCGGGGAGGCCGTGGAAGAGCTGGCGGACTCCTTCCCCTCTAGCTCAGCCACAGGCAGCAGCAGGTTCTGGGCCAGGTGGGTGGGGCTGGCGGGGATGCCATTCTCCAGCAGGAACTCGTCCAGGTCCATGTACTCCAGGTGGAAAGACTCGCCATCGTAGGGGATAGTCTTGTCCCAGATGGGTGGCATGAGGGAGGCCGAGACAGCCATGGTGCTGGCGGCAGCCGCCTCGTCCTCTTCCAGCTTTTCCTTCCCCTTTTCCTTATCTGCAAACAAAATCTCGCGTAAGACACCACACCAGAGCAGACTCTGTCCCAGAGGTGGGCAGTGAGCCTCAGGGTAGAGCCAGCTTTCTCGGAGGCCTGATTCTATGCCCATCTCATGTACTCTGGGCTCTGGTTTTTAGCTGCTGTTTGAGCAGGCAGGCCGGCAGGCCCTTCCATACTTGGTATTTCTGGAATGCTAGACACTGATACCACCCTGATAGGGTCCCAGAGTTGCTGTAGAGTAGGTTGTTGGTTTGCACCTGGCAGAGAAAGGCTGCTTTTCTGAAATCTTAGTGTAGAAGGGACTGAGGTTCTCAGGCCAAGACCTCCTGTGTTTTCAGTCTTATCCCTTTAGTTATATTTCTCCGTAGCAACCCAGAGTTGCCACCACTAGCCCAATCTCCATGCAGCCACCCATTAGTTGGTCATGTGTGACCTTGGCCATGTTACTTAAACTGAGCTTCCATTATAAATAAGGATAAAACCACCTCTTTTGTGAAGATCACAGACACCATTTGAAAGTGGCCTGGCACATAGGAGGAAGGAAGCACACTGAGGTCAAGTTCTGTGTCTGATTCATTTCTAAATTGCAGGGGCCAACAAAGAGGTGGGAAGATAATGAATGTATGAGTGGAACACACTGGATTTGCAAACGGTTTCACTTTAGTGGATTGAGAAGACCTGGAGCTAGGTCCCTTGTCAGAGCCATCATTTCAGAAAACCAAATCCCTGAAGAGCAGAAAGAAGTGAAGGTAGGTTTTTGTTTTTGTTTTTTTTTTGGGTCCGGTCGTGGGGCCTGAACTCTGGGCCTGGGCGCTGTCCCTCAGCTCTTCAGCTCAAGGCTAGTGCTCTATCACTTGAGCCACAGCGCCACTTCCGGCTTTTTTCTTTTGCTTATGTGGTGCTGAGGAATCGAACCCAGGGCCTCAGGCATGCAAGGCAAGCGCTCTACCACTGAGCCACCTTCCCAGCCCGTGAAGGTAGGTTTTTGAGAAGGAAGGAGAGGGTGGCGCTGAAGAATGCTCCTATTCCAAGAAAAGTCTTGATTAGTTATCATTTAGAAAGACCAGTTCCCACCTTATTGTCTCAGTTGGCACCTATAATTTTAGCTGCTCAGGAAGCTGAGATTTGATGATCTCCATTCAGTACCAGCCCAGGCTGACAAATCCCAAACCCCAAATCCCAAGCCCAGTACCAGTGCACACCGTGTGCACATAAGCGTGCGTGTGTGTGCACATGCGCTCATGCGTGCACACACACACACACACACAGTTATGTACATGGATAGCCAAGAGAGGGCGATTAAGAAAGAAAAGGCAGGGCTGGGAAGTTGGCTCAGTGGCAGAGTGCTTGCCTTGCATGCATGAGGACCCGGGGTTTGATTCCTCAGCACCACATAAGCAGAATAAAGCCGGAAGTGGCGCTGTGGCTCAAGTGGTAGGGCGCTAGCCTGAAGCTGAAGAGCTGGGAGACAGTGCCCAGGCCCAGAGTTCAGGCCCCATGACTGACAAAAAAAAAAAAGAAAGAAAAGACAACTGAGAGATGTGACAGTATGGGAGGGGTGTAGTGACAGGGAGGCTAATTAGAGGAGTGGTAGGGAAACATCATGACAAGTTCACAATGAGTTTTCAGAATTGAGAAAGACAACTTTGAACTCTGAATTTAAAAGAGATGAAACTGGCCAGGTACTGGTGGCCCACGCTTGTAATTCTAGCTACTCAGGACACTGAGATCTGAAGATCATGGTTCAAAACAAGCCCTGGCAGGAATTTTTTTTTCTGTTGGTCTTGGGGCTTGAACTCTGGGCCTGAGTGCTATCTCTCAGCTTTTTAGCTCAAGGCTACTGCTCTACCACTTCAGCCACAGTTACACTTCTGTTTTTCTGGTGGTTTTATTGGAGATAAGAGTTTCACGGCCCCAGGCGCCCATGGCTCACGCCTGTAATCCTAGCTACTCAGGAGGTTGAGATCTGAGAATGGAAGTTTCTCGGCTTTACCTGCCCACTCTGGCTCTGAACCGAGATCCTCAGATCTCAGCCTTCTGAGTAGCTAGGATTACACGCAGAACACAAGGACTAGTGGTGCCGTTGTGACACTAGAAAGAGCACCCAATTGAGAGCCATAAGGCTGACACATATGACCTTGTAAAAGTTCCCTGATGGTTAAGTTTCCTCATCTAGAGAGTGGGGATAATAACCTAAAGGGCTGTTGTAGAAGTCTAAATAAGATTATGTCAGGGCTGGGAAGGTGGCTCAGTGCTAGAGCGCTTGCCTTGCATGCTTGAGGCCCTGGGTTTGATTCCTCAGCACCACATAAGAAAAAAGAAAAAAGCCGGAAGTGGCGCTGTGGTTCAAGTGGTACAGTGCTAGCCTTGAGCTGAAGAGCTAGGGACAGTGCCCAGGCCCAGAGTTCAGGCCCCATGACCGGACCCCCCAAAATAAATAAATAAGATTATGTTAAAATGCTTTGTGATGGGGCTGGGAAGGTGGCTCAGTGGTAGAGCGCTTGCCTTGCATGCCTGAGGCCCTGGGTTCGATTCCTCAGCACCACATAAGCAGAAAAAGCCGGAAGTGGCACTATGGCTCAAGTGGTAGAGTGCTAGCCTTGAGCTGAAGAGCCAAGGGACAGCACCCAGGCCCAGAGTTCAGGCCCCCACAACCGGCAAAAAAAATAAATAAATAAAAAATAAAATGCTTTGTGACACTCTGCAAATTTAAGACAAAATGATTGATATGGATACTAGTTGCTGGTAATCTTAAACAAGTACCTGCCAAATGTGAACACCTGCAACTGTCTTCCCCTCAGATTTGGGACAAAGCTTTCCTGAAGCAGGAGAGCTTGGCCTCACCTTATTGTTGAAACTATTTATAATCTCACAAGCGACAACCAATGGGAGCCTCAGAATACACCAGGAAAAGAAGCAAGATGGCAATTTAGAAAGAAATTAATTCCCCAGGACAGACAATTCATTGGCCTATCCCTTCCCAAGTCCTTGGGTTATAGGACAGTTCCTGCAAATTCCCAGGTCTCAGAACGGAAGTACACCTACCAGTGTACCTAAAACTCCACAATAGGTGGCACTCCTGCTGCTGCCTGAACCTCATCTCCTCTGTCAAAACAGCAAGGCCAAAGCTGCTTTCCACATAGGCCCTGGGGGACCCTTTGGCCTGGGCTATAAGATGAAGTTCAATCCTGTCATTGTGGCCCCCAATCAACCAGGCCAGGGGCTTCAGGGATCTCCTTCTTGCCTTCATCCTACCCTGACCTGGCCCAAACCTTGTCCCCAAAAGGCACCCCCATCGCTCGCCCCACATGCTTCCCACCAGATGCATCTCAAACACCAGCCCAGAAACAGCTTTCCAAAAAAAGCTCCAGTACGGACCTAGCAGCTGGATCCCCAGCATCCAGAGAGCAAGAATGCAACTCCCCTAGGAGAGGACAAGGCCACATCCCCAGACGATCTGCTACCCAAGACCAGAGCGTCTCAAACTTTGGTGGACTTCGAAACCAAGGGGGATGAAGGCGAGGTGCTCATCACAAAGGCACAGTCCAGGGTCAGAATCTGCAGACAGGGTGGGGCCCAGGCCCGGAACGGGGTTTGGACGGGCATCTCGGGGGGGATTGGGATGCCAGCAGCCCCAGGGGAGGCGCCCTGGAGCGCCGGGTAAGTGGCTGCTCCAATCCCCCCTTCACCCTCCTCCCGACCCCCCCCACGAACACCTCACGCCATAGCTCCGTCCCCTCCCGCCTGACCCTTCCCTGCGAAGCCCCCCCAGACCCACCCTCTCCAGCTCACCCCCCGCCCCCGACCTCTCCCCAGTCTCGTCACCCCGGGCCGCAACCCTCAGGGCTGGACCACTCCACCCAGACCTCTGCCCTGCCCT